ATGTGATGGGGATGGAGATGGGATGGGGATGGGATGGGGATTGGATGAGAATGGGATGGGGATGGGATGGGATAGATTGGGATGGGATGGGAAGTGTTGCAATTTTGAATGTCAGCTGAGCTGTGCCTGGGAACTTGCCACTGTTGGGAGGTGTCAAGCAGGTTGTCCCTGCCTGGTAGAGCTGGCGCAGTGCGCTGTGCCCAGAAGCCATGCTGGAGGGCTGTAGGCACCAGCCTGGTTAGCATTCTCCCGAGGAGCCCAGTGGGTAATTACACACGGATTAAAAATGTAAGCAAAAGCAATTTTTCTTCCTCACACGTCTGAGCAGAAACGTGCGACCTGGTGCTGGCGGGAAGGAAGGAGACAAGCTCACTCCACAGCAGCCAGCGCCCCAGGGGTAGAGCAGGGTGCTGCACCCCACAGCCCTGCACCCCACAGCCCACGGAGGGGTCCCGGTGGGCCACACTCCTCCATCCCCATCTTCCTCCTCTTCCTCCACAGCTCAGAGCTGCTGGACCCTCCTTGAACCTGGGCTCTTCCCTCCATGGTGGCATCTACCAGGCTTCAAAGAGCAGCCAAGGAAGCAAGGTCCTGGTGCAAAGTGCGTGTTCAATGCTCTAAGTTCATCCCTTTTCTGTGATTGCTGGCTTTTAACAGCCCAGGGAAGGAAAAGTGTTGTTTAAGAAAAAGCATATTTTTTTTAAAGAGCTGCTGGACCCTCCTTGAACCTGGGCTCTTCCCTCCATGGTGGCATCTACCAGGCTTCAAAGAGCAGCCAAGGAAGCAAGGTCCTGGTGCAAAGTGCGTGTTCAATGCTCTAAGTTCATCCCTTTTCTGTGATTGCTGGCTTTTAACAGCCCAGGGAAGGAAAAGTGTTGTTTAAGAAAAAGCATATTTTTTTTAAAAATAGCCAGCATCCCTTTAATTAAGCGATAAAATGAGTTAGAGCATAAGGAACTGCACGCTAATTCATCCTGAAGACTTTGGGCACTGGGCCAGGAGGATCCTCTTACTGCAGCGATAAAATTTCATTTAAAAATGTTTTATTTTAACTTTTTTTTTTTAAACACTTGTTAATTTAACTAAGAGGCTAAAAAGTTATGAGCAGGGAAAGCTGTCTTATGTGAACTTCCCACCACACAAGCCCCAGAGCCGCTCACTTCCCGCACGTTCCCTTCCAGCGGCCAGGGAAATGCTCGAGCCACCACTTCCCTTTCCTATTCCTATATTTTAATCCCAAATTATTTTATTGCCCACTGAAGAAAAAAAAGAAAGTGCCTAAGTAGTCATTTATTAACAGCTATAAGTATCATTAGACAGAGAGATGTGGTAAAATATAGATTACACTGGGAAGAACCAAGTATCCGAGTGCCATTTTTCCTGTTCAGCATGTCATTACACATCCCGTCGTGGCATATCACAGCGATGATTAGTAGCATCAAATGACTTCTGAAAAATGATTATGTGCCATTAAAAACATTAGTCTGTCTGAAACCAGCACAAACAAATGGCCGTGCTGCGGATGAGTCATTAGCTCTGGGTCTAGGGGATGTGACAGGAATCCCGGAGATGCGGTGGGTGCAACTGGTGGGTGCCGTGGTGGCACCTTGTGAACGAGGGTGCTGCAAACACCGGTGGGGTGAAGGCTGACAGACCGAGTGCTGGGGTGGCCGGGTACCGGGCCGGTGGCTGGAGGGACCCGTGGGGAGGGCGGTGGCAGGATGGGAGCAGGAGGTGCCTGCTGGTCCCCACAGGTCCCAGACATGGGGCAGCCCCTGCTCTGCACTCAGCTTGTCACACTCTGGTTTTCCCTTTCATCAGCTGCACCTCCAGAACGTGGCCCAGGCATCTCCTCACCCTGGTACAGACTTACCTGCGTGTGCCATTGCATCAGCTCCACCACCTCAACGCATCACTCCAGACCCATTGCCCCCAAGTCAATTGCCGCATCTTCATCACCTCAAGCCACTGCCCTGGCTCCATCCAGACCACCATCTGCACCCCATCACTCCAATTCATCATCCCAACCCATTTCCTTGGCCCCAACCCATTGCCATCGTTCCATCATGCCAACCCATCATCCCAATCTGTTGCCCTGGCTCCATAATCCAACCCATCACCCCAGCCTCATCACTTCATCCCATCAACCCAATGCATCATCCCAACCCATTGCCCTGGCTCCATCACCCCAACCATCACCCCAACCCATCACCCCAGCTCCATCACACAATTCATCACCTCAGCTCCATCACCCCAATCCATTACCCCAACCCCATCACCCCAACCATCACCGCAGCTCCATCACCCCAACTCCATCACCCCAACCCCATCACCCCAGCTCCACCACCCCAACCCCATCACCCCAACCCATCACGCCAATCCCATCACCCCAACCCATCACCCCAACCCCATCACTCCAACCATCACCGCAGCTCCATCACCCCAGCTCCATCACCCCAAACCCATCACCCCAGCTCCACCACCCCAATCTCACCACCCCAATCCCATCACCCCAACCCATCACCCCAACCCCATCACTCCAACCATCACCCCGCCCTTCCCTCCCCACCCCACAGCCGCGCCCACGCCGCAAAAGCCCGCTGCCAGCACTTCGCTCCCTGCTGTTTCCACTTTAAGAGGACATAAATCCAGTTAGTACGTCCAAAGAAGAAAAATCAAAATGTCACATCTGTGGAGACGGTTCAATTGAAGGGGTATTGATTGTCACAGAGAATATTCTCACTTTATTCACCTACTTAGTCCCTTCCCCTAGGCACATATGAATTCATCAAACGTTGTCACACCACATAATAATACTTGTTCCCGGGTGGTGTCGCAGCAGACTTTGTCCTGCCTTCCTGGGGAAGCAGGAATTTAGGGAAGAAAGGCTTCATCGGCAGAACAGACGCATGGCAGCGACCGAGGCGCAAATTAACCCTCCTGGGTTACTGGGACCCCCTCACCGCGATCATGCGCGGAGCTGCTTGGGCTTTGTTCCCAGTTCCGTGGGAACATGAATGTATGAAAATAAGTTGGGGAGAAAAGACGTTTTCCCTTTGTTTACAGCCTTTTATTGTCACCTCTTCGCTGCCTCGTGCAGCCCCGGGAGCCCTTTGGAGCAGGAGCTGGCAGAGCGGGGACGCGGCGGCTGATCCCCTTCTCTAGGAGAGGAAACAGGGCAGCGAAGGAGAAAATGCAGCTGGAGAGGAGGTTTAGATGAGAAGGAAAGGCCACGGAGCTGGCAGCGTGTCTCAAGAGGAAAGCCGATGCCTCCTCCTCAGCCAGCCCTGCTGCCGGGCTGGGGTCCCGCATCCTGGGGATGCCCGGGGGGATCAGTGCCGGGAGAGGCAGGAAGGGAGCGTGGGGTGCACGGCTGTGCTCCCCAAAGGCGCTCGCTGGGCAGAGCCAGGGCCACCAGCCGTGGCACGGAGCACCAGGGTCACACTTGGGTGCTGCCATTGCGATTCGCTAATTCCTCCCGGGTAAAACGTTGCTGCTAATTACAATTCCCGATTAAGAAAGGCTGGACGAGGTGCTGTGGCTCTGGGATACGACCTCTGAGGGCTGGGCTGGGGGTCCCTGCCGGGGTGCTGCTGCTGCTGCTGCAATATCTTGTCGGGGTGAGCAGGATGCCGGTGGGGTGAGCCCGTCCTGGACCCCCAGAAAGGGGCTGGGTCCCGCTAGCACATCTCCCCGGGGATGTGGCAGGCTCCCTGAAGGCTGGTGACCCGTGGGGACATCCTGAGCGGCACAGCTGTCCTCAGCCATGGAGCTCCACCGTGCGTCCTCTGCCCTGCAGGGAGC